TCTGGCAGATGTTGATCACCGTTCGGGTGTACTTCAATCTGAAGTCCGCCTCTTGGGGGCATAAAATGCCAAACTTTAATGTACTTTTACGCAGCTGGTAAAGCAGTCCTTTTAGTTGCTTGATCAGTTGGCGTACAGCCTCGAGAAGGGTGAAGGCCATCGTGCCCATCAACATGAAGATGTAAGAGAAAGTGAAGAGGCAGAAGTAGACGGTGGACAAGTTTAAGCCGGAAACGACGAGTAGCAGCAGTCGATGACTGAGCAGCGGCAGAGATGATTTCAGGCCAAGCACTGCCTGCATACCGTAGTACAAAGACATGAGAACAAAGAGGTCTGCAAAAAAAGTTTTTAAAAAATGAAATAATTGAAGAAGTTTGCTGAATCCGATNGCCATCGTGCCCATCAACATGAAGATGTAAGAGAAAGTGAAGAGGCAGAAGTAGACGGTGGACAAGTTTAAGCCGGAAACGACGAGTAGCAGCAGTCGATGACTGAGCAGCGGCAGAGATGATTTCAGGCCAAGCACTGCCTGCATACCGTAGTACAAAGACATGAGAACAAAGAGGTCTGCAAAAAAAGTTTTTAAAAAATGAAATAATTGAAGAAGTTTGCTGAATCCGATTACCAATTGCGACGATGAAGACTTGGAGGAGAAGGAGAACGAGACGGCAAAGCCGCCTTAGATATGGCAAAAGAAGAAGTTTTGATTTTTGAAGTAAACCCTTTTTTATTGCGCAAGCAAACGATGCCTTACGAGAAGATATGAAGAAGGAGGTGGTGACGGCTTTGGAGTCGGTTAAAATGCCGGCCAAAATGTCTACTGGAAAAGCTGCCCGCCCAGTGTCGAAATAACTCAGATAGAGGTAGAAAGCGGCAAGCAGCAGATTGCCTACCACAGCCAGATTCGTTTCCGGTGGTAGACCGGCCAGGCGAAGAATGTCGTTGGTAAGCAACTTCTCAAGGGTTGAAGGTGGCTCATAGACCGCTAGAAGTAGATACTGAACAATCTTGAAAGCAAGAATGGCAAAAAGGGGCCAAAAAAGTGCCCACTTTTGTTTTTGATTGAGGGAGTAGTAAAGCTGCAGGTAACGATGCATAAAGTCCAGTGACTTATAAGGAATCGGTTGTTGAAGTACAAGATCCATTTTGTTTGTGGGTATTCACCAAACGAATTGCGACTTTTAGTAAACGGCAAAATGATTTAAAGCATTGTTATTTCAACTAACAAAAAACACAGCATATGACTGAAGAAGCTGCGTTGTTTTAGACTCGAGCATTTTGAATGTTAAAAATGAGAATTTGTTAGAAAATCGACGGTTACTTATCGTATGGTTTGTTGAATATGAGCATTTTTGCTTTCCAAAAGCATTCTCAGTGCAGAATAAGAACAACGCGTAAAATTGAAACTTTGTTTTCTCAGGAAAAAGTAAGTTTCTAAAGTTGGTAGAAAAAGTTAAAATAAATGCCACAACACAATTTTATTTATGGTTTTTTCACATTTCATCAAAGTTAAAAATATTAAATTTTTTTTACTTTTAATGATTCCAACTCAACTGAAAACATAAAATGTATACTTTTTCTTTTTTTAAAAGCCCGCTTTGTAGACAAACATAAGCAGCTCCGAGTACAAAATTAGGTACTGAAAAAAGTGAAAAACAAATCAATAAATATACTCAAACATTCAAAACCTCAAAACCAAACCTTGACAAAGTTAAAAGTACTCAAACGCCCAACACTGTAATAACTAAATCCATAAGGCTTTTTGGTATGAAAAGCTGAGAGAAAGAAGTGATTTTGCAGCTTTGACCTTCGATTTCCCTCTCTGCTGTACATCTGACTACGTCTGCCTGACAAAACAGAAATGTACCTCCTCGGCAGAGCTTTTAGCCGACTATTCAGTCCGGCGAGCAGCGAGTGAATGAGAAAAATGCAGAGAAACTGCTCCAGAATGGTCATCACCACGAGGAACTGGACTAGCAGACCGAGAGGATGATGCCCGGAGAGAGTGGGCGAAATGTAGGCGTTGATTAGGATAATGGTGAGCAGAGCGTTCGAGGGACAGTTGACGAGGAGAAGGAGCATGAGGACACGAGAGAAGTATCCTCGATTCGTCCGACTGATGCTCACTACTGTCTCTGTGTACTGCCGGCAAAAGGTGACCGCCTTCTCTTCCAGTGAACAAGTGCCTTTCTTCTTTGCAATCCCACCTNATCCTCGATTCGTCCGACTGATGCTCACTACTGTCTCTGTGTACTGCCGGCAAAAGGTGACCGCCTTCTCTTCCAGTGAACAAGTGCCTTTCTTCTTTGCAATCTCACCTGCACTTTTGACTTTCATCCTTTTTAAAAATCCCTCCAACTGTTTCATCAACTGGCGGATAATTTCGAGAAGACTTAAGGTTAACGTCCCAAGAAGCATATGAGAGTAGGAGAAAACGTAGAGCGCGAGGTACATTAGGAAGAAGTCCAGCTCGGCGACAATCAAAGAAACGGCTTTTTGATAAAGTGAAAGTTGAGGAGACTGGAAGAGCACTGTTGTGATGATGACATTCTGGGTTGCAAAGAAGTAGCTGTCTGCAGAGAAATTAAAAAAGCGTCAATATTTTGAGTAACTCTAAAAATCTGTACCAATGGCCAGAATAAAGACCTGGAGAAGGTTGAGCACCATGAAGCAGTATTGTTTAATGTAGGGAGAAAGAGGTTTGTTTTTGTCGCCTTCCCGGTACTTGGAAATGAGAAAGTTTCTACCAGAAAATAATTTCTTTTTATCATTCTCGTAAAAAATTTCTGTCAAAATGTTCACTGCTTTATGACCCGTTTCAAAGTAATTCAAGTGAAGGTAGTAACCGGCAATGAGCAGATTCCCGACTACAATTAAGTTTGTCTCGGCTGGGAGACCTACCAAGCGGAGAAGATCGTTCGCTACTACTTTCTCAAGATCTGAAAGTGGCTCATAGACTGAGAGAACTAGATACTGGACAATCTTGATTGAAAGCAGCGCAAAGAGAGGCCAAAAAAGTGTCAACTTTTGCCGCCGATTGAGGACGTAGTAGAGCTGCAGGTATCGGTGAATAAAGTCCAGTGACTTGTAGGGAAAGGGCTGCTGGAGTACCAAGTCCATTTTTTTGTGATTTTGCTGGCAAGAATACTCAAGTGAACAATGATTGTATGTTGAGAAATGTGAGATTTTTCTACTTAAAAATTAGTCTAACAGATCCTTGCAAACATGCAAATTGTGTTGTTTGAACACACAAGAATATTTATTATATCTGTCAAGAAGGTAATGGTGATTTATGTGCAAAATTAAAGAAAAAAAGAAAGTGGGTACACTCAAAAGTTGTTATGGGTGTTTGTTAAAAAAACAACGATTCTTTTCCTCAAAACTTTTACCTTGTATGCTCAAAAACTAATAAACATACTAAAAAACTTGCAACAATACGTTTTCAAGAGAATAAGTTCATGATTGCTTTATGTCGTTTTTATGGAAATGTAAAGGTTCAGAGAATGTTTAATTACTGGAAAAAATGAAAGTAATTAAGCAACTGAAAAATAGAAAAAATGCGAAAGAGAAATTGATCATTACTCAATAAAAATGGTAAGCAATGCAAAAAAGTAATCCAAAATTCAAACGTCATTTTTAGGCGTTTAGAGTTCTAGGCAAAGGATGACATTGACGATGATTGCAGATAAAGTTTGCTTGAAAGTGCAGTTCAGGTGTGCACCACTAATTAGTAATTACGGCTTTACTACTACTACTATCCACCTTATCACCGGTTTCTTAATGACACTCATTAAGAAAAAGTAAATCGATTGATTAAAAGCTCTCTTATCCCACAAAGGGTTAAACGAGGGAGGTCTAATTTACTAATTGGCGGATGAGATAATCCTGGTTGTTTTACGGTATAAAACACCTTCTGCGATGAGCTTTCCAGTCATCAGCACACAGCAGCCACCACTACCACCACAAGAATGAAGTTGGCGTTGATGTGCTTTACAGTGGCCAGTACTTTGGCAATCCTCCTCATCAGCAGCAGCAATGGGCACGAGCTGCGCATAGAGAACAACTGCCACCACAAGGTGTGGCCGGCGATTGCCAACAACCCGGGAAAGCCGCACCCGGAGAAGACCGGATTTGTCCTCGAGCACGGTCACTCGGCGGTTCTGCATGTGCCTCACGGCTGGGCTGGTCGGGTCTGGGGACGGACGGGCTGCAATGCTCACGGGCACTGCGAGACGGGAGACTGCGGTAAGCTTGCACCAAAATCATTGCTTCCTTTCAATTCACCAACAACCACAACTTTGTAGGCGGCAAAATTCAGTGCAACGGCGCCTTTGGGGCACTGCCGACCACGCTGGCGGAGATCGCCTTCGACCAGTACCAGGGCATGGACTTCTACGACATCAGCCTGGTGGATGGCTACAATCTGCCCGTGTCCATTCACCCCATCCCGGGCACCTTCCACCGTCGGTCGAGCCAGCACAACGACTGCACGGTGACCACCTGCCACACGGACATCAACGCCCACTGTCCGCACGAGCTGGCGGTGAAGGGCCCCGGGGGACACACGATTGGCTGCAAGTCAGCCTGTACAGCCTTCCGAACGGCGCAGTACTGCTGCACCGGAGTGCACAACAAGGCGAGCACCTGTCTGCGCAAGTTCTGGAAGGTCGACTACCCGGCCAAGTTCAAGCACTGGTGTCCGGAGGCGTACAGCTTCGCCTTCGATGACCGGAAGAGCACCTGGGCGTGCATCAGCAAGGACGCCCACCATCCCAGTGGCTACGTGGTCAAGTTCTGTCCATAGAGTACCGGTGACCGCCAATAAGAGTGCTGGCAAAGCACTTTTGTTAAGATTTTATTTTAGAAACAATGCATTCTTAGTGTGTACACTTTTTGTGTGTTCGTTATAAAAACAGATTTAAAGCCGACTAAGTGTTTGTCTTATGGGGGAAAGAGGAATATGGTGGGGAATATGGTGGAGATCAAGTGAAAGAATGTTTTCAATGAAACATTACTTCACGCATTTGTTTGGCCGACAGACCTTCCAGTCGTTGGGCAAAAACCTTAGCGGTAGCATTCATTAGACCTTTCACTTCGAGGTAGTTAGCGGCACACATGATTGCACGGAGAGTTTGATTGTCCACCGAGTCGAGAAGCGCTTTATCCCACTCTCCTAGCTGGCTTTCACGCGCCTCATCTTCGATCAGATCTTCTTCGTCCTTGTGGTGGTCCGCCCAGTCGATGACTATCCTGAGGATTTCACTGTGAACGCTTGGCAAGGGAATAGACTCCAGTTCAGGACCGAAGCCATCGAGATCGTCGACCAAGTATCGGACGACAGCCAGGTGACGGACAGTTGGGTAGGGCACTTCAAAGGTCTCGTTGTCGGAGGTGATCAGTTTAACGACGGAGGGTGGCATTATTCCCTTGCATGTGATGATGGTAATTGGGTCTCAGAAAGAGGTAAAAGCAAAGTAAATGTGAGTTATGTTTACACCGGAGTAAACAATCAGCGTGTGAGTTAAAGTTCGAACTGTAAAGACTCTGGCGACCTCTGTCTTTGGCAGCTGGCAACTGCTGCACTGCATCATCATTTGCGCCTTTTTCACCAGCACTGACGCAACACGCTTCATGTCAGCATTGCCCATCTTCCAGGGTGCTTCCACAATTCTGCTGGTGGCAATCATCGCCGTACTGGGCACACCTCATCCAAGGGACAGCGACATCCCTGATGATACGAATGACGAGAATGGCCCAACCGAGGCAGGAGTCAATCAGGCGGCAGCTGCTGTGAGCCGCGTCTTCACGACGACAACCACAATCAGTCCACCCGTCATCCTCAGCTGGTCCACCATCTCCATTGCGATCATCGTCGCGGGAATTGCCCTGTTCAGCAGCGCTCTCCTCTACTGCTTCTTCTACTGTCGAGGAAACGGGCAGCTCTCCAATTCACGCCTAGCAGGACAGACCGACTCCTCCGTTGGGGGCTTGCTGATGAAGACGGTGTCGCTGAGCGGTGGTTCGGCTAGTAGACCCAAGTCATCGCCACTGAAGAGCAACAGCAGCAGCAGCAGTGGCAGCAACAGCAGTCCCCTGTCCAGCAGTCCCTTCTCCCAGAACCGACCTTCCACCATCAGTGGGGTGTACTTCAGCTCGGCCGACCGCTCACCGGTGCGCATCAACCCGCCGCCGTCCACCGCCATTGGCTCGTCCTGGTCGACGACCGGTTTGCTGGCGCAGGGCAGCGCGGTGACCAGCATGCCGTCTACGGTCAACTCTACAATCACTGCCACTAAGTCTACCGTCAGCGGCATTGGCGGCACTGGTGGCCGCCTTCCTCCCACCACCACCTCCACCGCATCGCCCCCCACTTCCGGGTTGAAAGTCGCCCGAAGCAACCCTGCTTCGGTCATCAGCGGCGGCAGCAGCAGCAACAGCAGTAGTGCCGACAGTACCAGCGGCCTGAAGACTATTCAGAAGGGGAAAATGAAGAAAACTTGAAACACCCATTAAAGCTTTTCTTGTAAACCCTCGTTTATCGTCTCGTCTTCTTGGACCGGCATTATTTTGTTTCTTCTCAGCTGCTGTTCGGCGCCCGAAAAAAGATAAATAAGTCTTGACTGGCAGCCGGACCTGGCGCCATCTTCCGGTGCTGTCTGCAAGGCTGAAGGTAGAAGACGGTCGGCCGACCACGTAGCTAGCAGTGGACGGTGCCGCTACCACTGCTGCGGGACGCCAACGAACCTGTGCAGAGAGTGTGTGTTTGCGAGTGCTATGTTTTCGAGTGGAATTCTCTTTGGCTCTCTTTCCTTTCCTTCCCTCTACTCTCTGCTCCTCTCCCTCCAAAGTGAGGCAAATTCCCAGCAGTGCTCCCTCGCGTTTCTTCTACCACCACTCGTTCCACAAGCCAGCAGTTCGCTCGACACTGTCGCTTCCCGAGCACCGGACGCCCTGGCAGGGCCCCGCCACCTGCAAAGCCAAAGCAGCAGCAGCAGTTCTACAACAGCAACTCCACAGCCACAACCAGCGCCTGAGCAGAAGCAGAAGCAATAGCAGCAGCAGCGCCAGAAGACTCTCCGCCGAAGTAAGCACGCTCTAAGAGCCCTGGAGCGTCCTGGTCCGCGACTACGAACAACACAGCTCGAGGCCTCGAGGGCGCCAGTATTCTCGCCAGTGCATCTGCACAGTTCTCTCTTCAGTTCTCCGTTTCTTTTCAGTTCTACTACTCAGCGACAGGCGCTATTCTACTCTGCTGCTGTTGTCGTTCCGCAAGTCGCGCCAAGTGTTTTCTTCTTTTGTGTTTGTTTATCTCCACTGTGCTCGCACTTGCACTCGCACTACTTCGCTTGGGCCTTCACTTGATGATGATGTCTTTGCCTTCTTCTTCCTCCCTACCACTTACCTCACTCGCCTGGCAATATCTGCTCTCCTTTCTCCTGCACCACATCACCTGCCTCTAGTTAGCGTTTCAGTTCATCACTGTACGATCAGTCAGTTCTACGCTCACCTCCCAATTCTGTTATCATCCTTCTGGCACTACCTCGACTGGGACGCTACCGATGTACTGCACCTCTGCTGCTGCCTCCCGCCACTTGATGTTCCGGCAATTGACCGCAGCAATTGGCAGCAGTGCACTAGTAGCTGACGAGAAGAAGTACACGCAGTGGTCACTTGCCGCTTTCACAGCGAGCAGAGGGTCACCAGCAAGAGCCAGTGCAGATCACAATGGACGAGCCGAGCACCTCCAGTGATCCTCCAACACACTGCCTAGGTGAGGAGGGCGAGCTGGAGACGACAATGGTGCCGCAGGAGAATCAGACCACCACCGCCTCCACCAGCAGCAGCGAAATGGTGCACCTGCAGTCAGAGTTCACCACTGCCTTGGACACCGAAGACCAAGTGCAACCTACGACGACAACAACAACAGCCGCAGACACCACCATCAGCAACAGTGGTGCACCATCAGTCGATCAACTGCCGTCAACTGCCGCACCTCAGCTCATAGAAGATAGCCTACAAAGTGATCACCAAGTGGAGATTACCGTTCCTGTGATGAGCAACGAGGAAACACATGTGCAAAGAACCAATGAGCTAGAGCCGGCCAATGGTGGCGATGGTGGTGGCGGTCTCACCAATGGACCTCAGCAAAGTTCCTCGTCATTTGAAAAGGACTTGCTGGCGGTCGAGGACTTGGATGAGCTGTCTATGATTACCGATGGTATGCTCATTGACGATTTACAGTGTCTGCCTCCGCAAACCTTTACTGAGGAGCATCTTTTCGCCGCTGAGAAATCTTTTCTGGAGGAGAACCCACCGCCGGCGGCCAGTTCAACCGCTGACATTGAGCAGCATCACCCCCAATTCACCGAAAGTGCCACTTCAATCCCTTCTTCCACCACTCCAACAACAAAAGCGGCGACAACAACAACGTCCACCGCATCAACTTCTTTTCAACTATTGGAACTGGATGAGCCCCTAAAGGAAAGGGCTCAGCAGTTTGCCACCACCACTGGCAGCAGTGCAGAGACCGAGCTCATCGATGCTGATGACCTGAAGGAGGCCGCCAACTATCTGGAGGACGACCTGGATGAGCTTGACCACGAGATGGACCACGGGGCGTACTCGCAATCAACCACCACCGACGCGGCCACCATTCTCGACACTGACTCCTCCAAGGACGGCACCGTCAGTGAGCTACCAGTGGCGGCTGCCGTAAGCGAGCCTGAGGTGCCTGATCTCTTCAAGGACGTCAAGTTTGCCATCAGCGAGGAAATGGAAGATCTCGATAAGGTACGTTGTTTCGTTATCTCCGATGGTGTTGGTCTAATCATTACCCTCTATTTAATCGTTGCAGATCAAGCGCGCCCTGGTTGCCAGTGGGGCTAGGTTTCTCAACTATCTCACAGACAGTGCCACACATGTCATCGCCGACAAGCCCGAGTACTCCTTTGTCAATGAGGCGTTTGACATCTACGAGAAGCCAGTCGTAACTGTAAGCGCTTCTTGCTAACTGTTTGTTGTACACAACTTCTCACTTTCTTTTCACTTCCTTTCTCTCTGCAGAGTCAATGGGTTTGGTTGTCACTTCGCTCGCACACGATACTTCCCCATGCACCCTTCTCCCCCTTTCCCAATCGCCTCTTCTCCTCGGTGGTCGTCTGTCCGAGCCGTCTGCACCCTGCGGACCAGTCGGCCATCTGGTCGATGGTCACCTACCACGGCGGTCGCTACCAGGTGAAGCTAGATGGCGGATGCACGCACCTGGTCACCGCGCGAATCGCCGGGCCAAAGTATGAGACGATCGTGGCGCTCAAGTCAGCCAGCAGCAAGTGCAAAATCGTCACCCCTGACTGGGTGGTGGACTGTGTGAAGCAGAAGAGCCTGTTGGACGAGGAGCGCTACCACCCGCGCCTCCTGCTCACCTACAACGCCGACAAGAAGGGGCTGGTGAATGAGCGCAAGAAGAAGGACGGCGGCACAGGTGAGAAGCAGCAGAAGCAGTCGGCGGCGATGGACGACGAGTCGGCCATCTTCACGAAGACCACCAAATCGGTGACCATGGCCATCTCCACGGCGGCGGTGCTCTCCCGCAAAGTGGAGCCCTTCAAGCCCGAGCTGACGGCGACGTCGCCCCCGGCGCCCCCTATGATCACTAGTCCTCCGCTAGTGTTGACCCCCCTGCCTAATCAAAACTCCACTACTACCAGTAGCGCTAATGTACAAACTCATCATCACCATCACCACCACCATCCTCATCACCACCATCATACAGTGCCTAACAGTTCAAACTCTTCGATGCTTTCTCCGCGACAAGTGCAAAACCCGCAAGGACTTCAGCAGCAGCAACACATTCATCATCAGCAACAACAGCAACAGCAGCAATTTCATGCTCATGGGGCTCATCCTCACCCTCACCAGCAATCAACAGTGCAATTAATGAACCATGGAGGCCAGATGAATGTTGCCACCACAAACGCCTACCAACATCAGCAGCAGCAGCCTCATGGCCTTCCGAATCGGCACATTGCGCCAATGTCTGCGGTGCATGGCCACGGTGGGCAGGGAATGCAACAGCAAATGCAGCAGCCGCAACACCACCTAGGGCCTGGTGCAATGCATCCGGGTCAACAGCACCCGATGATGAATAATCAACAGCAGCAAACGCAGCAGCAGCACCTGACGGCGGCCCAGAAGAGAAAGCAAAACGCTGCGGCCGCCGCTGCTGCTGGCGGTCAGGTGCACGCGGTCAAGAGCAAAGGACCGGGCGCCAAAGGGCCGTCGAAGGCTGCCTTGAAGAAGCAACAGCAGCAACAGTTGCAACTGCAGCAACAACAGCAGCAGCAGCCACACATGCACCCCCATGCTCACCCTCTACCTCAGGAACATGGTGTCCACCCGATGGACCCAATGATGAGCCCAGGCGTGCAGCAGAGTGCTCACCCTGTATCTCAGAGTGGCTACCATCCCAATCAGGGAATGGGAGTGCAATCGCAACAACACCCACAGATGGTCAACAATCAGACGATGCACTCGCCCAACCAGTACCGTCCTTCGCCACAAGGCCCGGCAATGGTTGGACAGCAACAACAAATGGGCGGTATGGTGCCGCAGTCACAGCAGCAACAGCAGGCGCCAATTCAGCATCCTCAACAGGCTGCCGGTGGCGGCGGACCACGACAGGTGTACCAGATGCAACAGCAGATCAATCAACAGCCACCGCAACAGATGCAGTTTGTCAACGGGCAAGGGCAGTTTGTTCGAGGCCAGTTTATCGCTCGTCCTCAGCAACAGCACCAGCCTCAAATGGGACCAGGTCAGCAGTCTCCTCAGATGATGTCTCCCGGTCAGCAGCAGATGTACCGGCACCCTGGCCAACAGCAGTTTGCAGCAATGCAACAGCAACAACAGCAACTCCCTCAACAGCAGACACCACAACAGCGGACAATGGCTGCCTACGGGACCCAGCAGGGACAGATGATGAACCAGCAGGGACAGCCAGTCTACGTGGGTCAGCATCAGCAGGGAATGCAGCAGCAACGAATGCAAATGCCTCTACAGCAGCGGCAATCACCGCAGCAGCAACAAGTGGTGGGCTCTCAGCACCAGTCTCCAACTGGTCAGCCGTCGGTGAATGCTGGGCAGCAGCAGCAGCAACAGGCGATGATGGGCCAGGTAGACACTTTTCACCTATTCACCTAGGTCATTTGCTTTAAAAGTAACACATTTTTTTTGTTTAGAACCAGTATGGACAGCAGATGCAGCAAGCTCAGACGGTTCACCATCAGCAGCAGTCAGATAGACCGCCTTCAGTTGTGGGCAGCTCGATATCGCCCGGCGCTGTGGTCTCCCCAGGGACGCACGGTGGACCCTATTCCCAGCAACAGCAGCAGACGCCCGGTGTGCCACGAATGCCTATGAATATGATCCGAATGAGCAATCTGACGCCTGAACAGCAGCAAATGGTTATGCAACAGCACAAGATGCAGCAACAGCAGCAGCAGCAACAACAACAGCAACAACAGCAAGTAGGATATCAGGGGAATATGCAGCAGCAGACGGGGCACATGGGCGGACAGCCGATGATTCGGCCAGTTGGACCGGTGGGCGTCAACTCTGGCCAGTCATCACCGCATACGCCACCGCAAATGCTCTCGCCTAATGGGGCACCGGTGCCGGGACAGCGGATGATGGTCAGGCCGGCGATGATGCAGCAGCAAGGACAGGTCTACGGACAGCAGCAGCAGCAGATGGTTGATCTAAACAAGATGCAGCCTATGCAGCAGCAAGCCATGGTACGGCCTCCAGTTCCGATGCAGGCACAACAGGGACCTCAACAGCCTGGGTCGCAGCAGTTTGTGCAGCCTGGACAGCAGCAACAGCAGTTTATTCGTCAGCGATGGCAAATGCCTGCTGCCGGTGATCAGCAGTTTGTGGGCGCCAAGACACATCCGCAGCAGTTCATGCCTCAGCACATGGGCGGTCCTGGTCCCAGACAGATGATCGTCCCACCGCAGCACCCCCAATCAGGCCAGCATATGCAGCAAGTTCCGCCACAAGGCCCTCCTCCTCCGAACCTGACACCTCAGCAACATCAAATGTGGGCTCAAAGGCATCGATATATTCTTCAACAGCAACAGCAGCAGCAACTGCAAAATCCTCAAGCTCGAATGATGCGCATAAATGGGCCGATGATGATGCAGCAGCAGCAACAACAACAGCAACAAATGCCACCTCAATCTCCGATGCACCCTTCAATGATGGGCATGGGTCCTGATGGTGGACACCCTAAGGTTAGAATGAGCGGAAGCAGTGCGCAACAGCAGCAGCAGCACAGCAATACTGAGGTAGTGTCGACGAACATTACTGCGGTGGTGGGTGGTGGCGTGGACGCTGTCATCGCCAGCAGTGCGCCGGCGGTGATCTCACAGGCCATTGCCAACCAACAGCAGCACCAGCAAGCGCATTATGTTCAGCAGCAGCAGGCTAACGCGGTAGGTGGGGTAGGTTCAGCTCAGGTGCAGAGTGCAGTAAACAATTCGGAGCAAGCTAATGCGACTCGTCAGCAGCAGCAAGTGAGCAAAGCCATTTCGGTTCAACAGCAACAGCAAAGCATCGGTGGCAGTGCTGTTCAGCAGCAGCAGCCAGTGTACTCGATGTCTGCTGCCGGTGCCACCACCAGCAGCAGCAATTCCTCTGCCAACTCCTCCTCTGCGTCGACGCCCACCTCCACCACCTGTGGCTCGGTGGTGAATGAGAAGACAAAGACTGCGCTGGCCAATCTGCTCAATAATCGCCTCAATCAGCAGCAGAATGGCCAACAGCAGCAGCAGCAACAGTCGCCTACTGCTGCCAACGCCACCTCTTCAGCGACGTTGGTTCTTCGCGACCAGCCGTCGGTGGGTGGTGTGTCTGCTAAGCACCAGCTGCAACAACAGGTAGTTTCAGGACCAACAGCGGGAGCTTCGGTTCAGTCTTCCATTTCAGTGAAGGCAGGAGGACAGCAGTCGACGACGACAACGACGACCAGCGCACTGGTCAGTGTCGGTCAGCAAATGACGGCACAGCGAACAGTGCCCATGATGACGGGAGGCACTGCCAACTCGGTAAGCGATTCCACTCTTTCCTACTACCATTTGGGCATTCGGTCATTATCCATTGCCGCTTTCCACCGAGATTATTTGCATGGACGCCTATTTGCCTGCCTGACTGCCTATTTCATCTTTCCCCATTTGGCATATTCACTANATTTGGGCATTCGGTCATTATCCATTGCCGCTTTCCACCGAGATTATTTGCATGGACGCCTATTTGCCTGCCTGACTGCCTATTTCATCTTTCCCCGTTTGGCATATGTTCACTATTTCTCCCTCTCTACCTTTGGTTTGGTTCACCACATCTAAATTGGTTTTCACTCAAACAAGAAATTAATTATACCACTTTGGCCAAACTTGGTTGATGATGCTTTCACCTCCTCTCTCTCTCCTTACTTTCCTGCCTGCCCCCTTTAATCAGCTTGTGCCTCGAAATAATTCATTTTACCGCAGATCTCAACTTTTCAGTTTATAATCGCCAAGTTAATCGTGCGTGCATTTATTTGGCCGCTTTTGTTATATCGCTCTACAAAGCTTTTTTGCCGTGGGGATCACTGTTGATCGTCATTATTAGTCGTGTACGCCACATCAACCAAAGTCTAACCTTTAGAGTGCTCTCCTTCCCCTCTTTCTTTTAATAACTTTCGGTGACACCAGTGTTCGCATGAGAATTCCACACTACTGCAACTAACTGCTAAGATAGCTGCTGGTACATTTGCATTTTTGAAATTTGGTTCGGCATTTTGCTTTTCCTTTAAATATTGTTGGTTTCTCAGGCCTTTAGGGCTTTAGGTTATTGCCTGTTGCCTGCCTTTTTTCCCCAAAGCGTGCGTGTTTTAGTACACAGTTTGGTCAATTAACTCTTTGATGATATTTATTATGCTGTGCTAACACTCCTTTTCTTCCACTCCCCCAATTG